TGGATAGGGGGTGTGGATAGAGCTGTAGGCGGTGCAGCGCAAGCCACCCATAGTCTCTCTGTAGGCGCAGGCGTCCTGTAACTGTCCTATGGTGGTCACAGTGACAGGCAAATCCGGAACCGGATGTTGCCAACCATATGCGGGTAACTAGTAACAGTTACCATCTATAGAGAAGAAAAGCGAAGTGCTGTGCCAACAAGCATACTAACTGTTGCGGGCCCGTCAAAAATCCCCGCAAAAACGCGCCAGAAACCCCGGCAGAATGGCTGTGGGAAGCGGGGTCCAATTCCTCCCCACAACGTAGCAGTGATCAGCCACTCCGAGACGCGGCCCAACTACGCACCTTTTGACAATGGCCTTTTACAAACTACCACCTCGTCATGGTAGAAATTTTCCCTTACTTAATGACCCATAGCATTGGCTGTGATTCGCCCTTTGTTGGTCGTAAAAGAGCCTTCAGAGGACCGCCTGTCTTTCTTTCCTCTTCGCCTTACTTGGGAGTCGGTCGGGTCACGTGATTTGTGTGCGTCGTTAGCTGGCCAGCCTTCGCGTCTAAGTCATTAGCGCGCGTCTATCGTAACCCCTCTCGTGTGCGTCCGTTCCGAGGGCTCAGCGTCTATCCGAACACGTGCGGCTAGGATCGTTCACACGCTCGCTCAATTTTCCGTCTCACCGGCTAAGCTAGCGTCATCAGGTCAGCGCAACTCCGTTCGATTGGCCAGCGTTACAAGTCGTCATCGTAGGCGTGCTCCAACCGTGCCAGCGACAATCTTATCAGGCAATTACGCAATCATAACAGAGGCGGCGTTCCCTCAATTATAACAGTGGCGACAGAGTTGACGAACCATGACTGACGAATACGCCGATTTAAAACTGATGCTGCAGCAACAGCTTAAATTGATGTCCGTGCTAACCGAAAAGCTCTCCAGTTCTTCCCTTCATGCAGGTCCAAGCGCCAATTCTCAGTCAATGGACCATGTGGTTAGCGGCATCAGCGAATTCCTGTACGACGCCAAGGCCGGGGTAACGTTCGAATCCTGGTACAAGCGGTACGAGGACCTGTTCACCGTTGACTTGGCTTGCCAGGACGACGCGTGGAAGGTCCGGCTGCTTCTTCGCAAACTTGGTACGCTCGAACACCAGCGCTACACCAACTTCATCTTACCGAGGAACCCACGCGACGTTACCTTTGACGAGACGGTCCGAACGTTGTCACAGATTTTTGGCGAGCAGTCCTCTCTGTTCAATGCTCGTTATCAGTGTCTGCAGCTGGCCAAACGTGATGCCGACGACTTCATCACGTACGCGGGCGTGGTCAACCGTGAATGCCAACGTTTTCAACTTGGCTCGCTCACCGAGGACCAATTCAAATGCCTGATCTTCGTCTCTGGCCTCCAATCTCCACACGATGCCGATATCCGGACGCGCCTCCTGTCCAAGCTACAACAGGATAGCTCAGTCACACTCCAGAACCTGGCCGAGGAGTGTCAAACGCTGCTCAACCTGAAGCACGATTCTGCAATGATCCAGAACGCCGCCGCACCTGGTATGGTCCAGGCAGTCACAGCACCGAGGGCGCAATCGTCCGCGCGCCCCACCCAATCCGACCGAGCGAAGTCCCCACCCTACGCGTGCCGATTCTGTGGTGCCTGGCATTTCCACCGGGACTGCAATTTCCGCCAGCATCGTTGTCAACGTTGTGGCAGGGTGGGGCACCGGGATGGTTACTGCCATCCCACATCTCCCAAGGGGGCCAAAACTGGGCTGGCCCCACCCGCGATCCAAAGAAGAGGTCCCGACCCAGACGCACACCCAAACCTGGTCCGGTTGGCAGCTCCCTGAGCCTGCTGGCCACGTTCCAAATCAACGCTGCGGATCGGAGAAAGTTCGTCGACGTCTTGATCAATGGTCAGTCGGTCCGATTGCAGTTGGACACTGCGTCGGACATCACGATCATCTCCGAGGATCTCTGGCGATCCCTTGGCAAGCCACCGTTCGAACCGACCTCCAATCTGCCACCAGCGCCTGTGGTGGTCGCGTGCAGCTAACTGGGCAGCTGCACTGCTCCGTCTCCTTCCGGGGCGCCACGTTCAACGCGATCTGCTACATCACAAAGGCGAAGCTCAACATGCTTGGTCTCGACTGGCTCGAAACCCTTGGCTTGGCCGATCTTCCTCTTCGGGCCATCTGCAACGCGGTACATTCTCCGGCAGTACCAAACAACAGAACCGACGACAAAGTCAGTCAGTCCGCCCCGTGTTCCAGGATTGTCAACAAGCCTCAAAGATGCCACCACACCAATCACCTGTTCCTTGGCATCCGCCAGCAAAACCGTGGTCTCGAGTGCACATCGATTACGCTGGTCCCATCGATGGCATTTCCTATCTGATCGTGGTCGACGCCTATTCCAAATGGCCAGAAGTGGTCGCCGTCAACCCACCAACCGCATCCGCCACTCTGGCTTGTCTCCAACGAATCTTCAGTCAACATGGCCTTCCCGAGGTTTTGGTGTCCGACAATGGTACCCAGTTTACGTCTTCTATCTTCGAAGACTTTTGTCGCCGACACTGCATCGAACACCTCCGCTCACCGCCTTACCATCCCCAATCCAATGGTCAAGCGGAGCGATTTGTCGACACCTTCAAGAGGGCGCTTTTGAAATCTCGCGGGGAGGGGACCGTGGATGAGTGTCTTCAAGCCTTCCTGCTCTCGTACCGGTCCACACCGAATCCAGCTACTCCAGGATGCCAGTCACCAGCTGAAGCATTGATGAGCCGCAAGCTACGCACCACCAACGAAGCGCTCATTCCGACTGAGAAGCCACCTAGTCACTCTGGTGCCTGCACCAAGCACAAAGAATTCGTCGTTGGAGCCCCGGTCTACGCTCGCGATTACCGAGCAGGTCATCCTCGCTGGATCAAAGCAACAGTGACGGCCAGGCGAGGTGACATGCTGCATGATGTCTCCGTGGGCGATGACACCTGGGTTCGCCATCGCAATCAACTTCGACCGCGCCACGGAGAAACCTCCACGCCAGCCAGCTATCCCGTGCGCCTGCCGCTGCACATCCTGCTGGATACCTTTGGATTGGCCACACAACGGGAGACCACGGTCGAAGCCGCTCAATCGCCGCCGCGTCTGGAGAACCTGCCTTGCCGACGAACAGGAAGAATCCGGAGGTCGCCGAAATCCCTCCAGGTCAATCCTCGCCAGAAGCGGTACGCTTTCTCTTCAAAGGGAGGTGTTGCGGGCCCGTCAAAAATCCCCGCAAAAACGCGCCAGAAACCCCAGCAGAATGGCTGTGGGAAGCGGGGTCCAATTCCTCCCCACAACGTAGCAGTGATCAGCCACTCCGAGACGCGGCCCAACTACGCACCTTTTGACAATGGCCTTTTACAAACTACCACCTCGTCATGGTAGAAATTTTCCCTTACTTAATGACCCATAGCATTGGCTGTGATTCGCCCTTTGTTGGTCGTAAAAGAGCCTTCAGAGGACCGCCTGTCTTTCTTTCCTCTTCGCCTTACTTGGGAGTCGGTCGGGTCACGTGATTGCGTGTGAGTCGTTAGCTGGCCAGCCTTCGCGTCTAAGTCATTAGCGCGCGTCTATCGTAACCCCCTCTCGTGTGCGTCCGTTCCGAGGGCTCAGCGTCTATCCGAACACGTGCGGCTAGGATCGTTCACACGCTCGCTCAATTTTCCGTCTCACCGGCTAAGCTAGCGTCATCAGGTCAGCGCAACTCCGTTCGATTGGCCAGCGTTACAAGTCGTCATCGTAGGCGTGCTCCAACCGTGCCAGCGACAATCTTATCAGGCAATTACGCAATCATAACAGAGGCGGCGTTCCCTCAATTATAACATTAACACAAACTGATGGTAGCGGCAGAGATGAATGACTTTTGTTCTGACAGGATCTGCAAACGTGACATTACTCTCGCCCTGAAGGGCAGAGTTTACAACGCAGCCGTCCGTTCAACTCTTCTATATGGCTGTGAAACCTGGCCCATCAGGTCGACGGACATAAAAAGGGTCGTCACATTCGATCACCGCTGCCTTCGCAGCTTAGCTCATGTCTGGTGGGAACACCGCCTGAGCAATTAAAGTGTTCGACGTCGCGTATTTGGTGCAGAAAGAGCAAGTGAGCCCCTCAGCACCGTTACATCCCGCACCAGGCTACGATGGCTGGGTCAAGTGTTGCGCATGACAGCACACCGACTCCTGCGACGTGCATTGTTTGTGCGTTGTGGATGCGGTTGGAAGAGGAGGAGGGGAGGCCAAGTGATGACTTGGTCGAGAGAAATGAAAACCCTCACTTCGAAGTTGGCGTCGGTTGGTGCATCCCGACTGCCTGGCTGGGATCCTAAGGACGGTGAACACGGTTGGTTGAACACACTTGCTGATATGGCTTGGAGCCGGCCACAATGGCGTTTGTGTTGTGAGTTCCTTTGTCCATCCCCCTCCTGTTTAGCGTCCCCATCCAATCACGGTCTCACTTGTTAGGCATAATATGATTCTCTTTTTACGGCAGCCAGCTGTTAGCTCTCCGGAACGATGTCCAACCGTCACTGGGGACTCAGCGGGCGTGCCACTGTTTTTTGCTTGTCTTTTGTATTGCGGCACAATAGCTGAGGTGTTTTCCACCTCCAGCTAACGTGTAATGATGATGATGATGATGCAGACTCTGACTTATGTGGGATTGGGGACCCGTTTTAAAGATGAGAGAAAAAACAGCGTGTATACAGCCTGTCGACAGTTGCAATAAGCGCATTCACAGTGTGGGCGGCTAAGAGTTGGCTTGATCGGAGCAGTGCGGAAACACGGTATGTATCGATGATCAAATGTGAGGATCTTGGTGGTAGTCGTACGTATGGGCCGTTAAAATCCGCCGCAGTTAAGTATGGCGATGAAAAGCCGTTCAATCACTTTGATATACGACGTGATTCTTCGTTGAGTTAACAAATCCATGAACGCAGAGCCAGCACTAGGGGGACGACATTATGCACATGGAGTTACGAAGTCTGAGACCACGCTGGGTTTCAAATTCGCCGGTAAATTGTGAGATGCGCAACCGACAATCGAATAGTTATCGCGAAAGGGTCCGCTTGGGTGGTAAGGAGAAGCTAGCACTGATCTAACTATTCCATGACCGTAGTGTTGCGGTCCCGAGGATCTAGGTTGTTGCAATAGAACAGCTCGGTTCAGTTCAACTGTGACCTTGGGTAGCGTGGAGCGGTGTATGCAGTTACCATGAATCTCACCGCCGGAATAAGAGCAAGTAATAATGGCGAAAAAGGTTAGGCAGACAACAGAAAGAATACAAATAAAAGAAATTAGGATAAAACGAATTAGTCCGGATAGAAGTGACAGACAGATGCAAGTATTCGAATGGAGGAGCGTCACTGACTGCGTGAGTGCACCATGTCCCACAGGGATCACAACCATTGAGGTGGCCTACCCCGATTCATGAAGACGATACACAACGACTGGAGCAAGTCAATCGGTCAGTTTCTTGGCATCTTTGCAACCGGACACCTCGCAGTTACACCAAACTAGGCTCAGCGGCGGCATATAATGAACACCGAGGAAGGTGGTCAACAGGCATAAGGGAAGACATGAACTAACCAAAGTAAGCGGTGAAGTTTTAGGGATCACTCCACTGAAGCACCAGAGGGTTTTTGTCAAAGATCAACTACAAGAGCTCAGCACTACTCACTCGGTGTTCCCAACACATGTGAGTATCAGTCTAGAAACACAGATGGTTATGATAATACAAATACCAATGGAATTCTGTCACCACTATCGTATCATAGCCACGCTTTAGCGGAGCATCAAAACGAGCATTTAACATGCGGTGAGGCCAATTCTGTGGGGCATATCCGACAAGCTTATATGCCCCGGGATGGAGTTCGGGTGCTACTGAAGCAGTCCAACCCGAATACTGTTATCTGTGATTGTGCGGTAACAAAGCATAAGCACAGAGAACTGAAATACTACTAATAGGGATGTAGGCGGAGCATGGAGGTTGCCCGCTACATGCAAAGGGCATTAGTTTGAGCGTGCTACGACTCCGCTGAATTTGGGAATCGAGCGGGAACTGGTCGGTCACCAAATACCAGCCCGCGTAAAAGGAACCGAACAATCCCGTCAATATGATATACCTGTGGAGCAAAATTCACCCACAGTGGCTTAAAACCAGACGCAGAAGAGTGAGTGACCTTGACCTCAAAATTAGCATGTTTCGTGTAGCAATAGATACTTAACCTATCCTGTGGATACTCTCTCTTTATACGGAGTTCTGACTTTTTATATTCCTCCAGTTGACTTGGCGCGTGTCTGAGCAGTCAGACAGTCGCAATCTCACAGGGCAGCAAAGCAGCAGTACAACACGTGTCAGCGACAGAAAGGGAAAGAAGCAAGCGTTACAACAACTACTGTTGGGCAGCACGTAGTCATCAACATCATCATCAACAGCAGTACATCAGCCATTTGAACTGATGTTTCGCTGCCATACAACCATGAGGACCTATGAAATAAAGAATAGGAGGGAGAGAAAAGGGACTTACCTGAAAACCTTAATGCCCTAAGCAAAAATTCAGGGTCAAGGCGCCTACACCCTGTGTAGACAACATACAGTCACAAACAGCTGGCTATCGTGTAAAAGGCGGCATCGGCGAGACAGCTACCTTGCGGCTTTCACTGCTCCGCGTCATAATCAGTCATTACCCCGCAGATAACTCAGTATCAAACACACTTTAAACAGGCAATCCGATTAGGAGACGGCAACAGACGCGCCACTGGGGTCGTTTGCGAGCCATGTGCTGCAAAATCTCGAGTCAAGCGCAAGGGGTCACATGGACTCCAGCCCGGAAGGGGACACGGACCAACGGCGATGAGCAAAGACTTGAAGGCACTTCAGACCGATGGGTCCAAGTCTCACTACCATAGAACAGAACGGCCCTCACTGTGGCCTTGTATACCCGCCATTTTAGACGGAGAGAAACACCCTTCTGTCGCCAAAGATGCCGTAGGTTCAAGAAGGTAGCTCTGGCTTTTGCAATGCGTGACCCGACGTTAGTTTCTATGCGCCCATCATTGCTGATGCAGCTGCCAAGATAAGTGAATTGATCAACCACCTCGAGTTCCTCCTTAGCGAGGGTCAAGGGGTCATCAAGTGGCTGGTGGTCCTGCAGCAACACTTTGCACTTTGAAGGTGCGAAGTGTATACCAAATAATGGGACTACCGTGGACAAGTTATTCAGGGTTGATAGCGCCGCCGCAAAACCGTCGAAAAGCAAGACGATATCGCACGCACAATCTACGTCAACTAACCTTTCACCAGCAACAATTCAACGCCTACATGGTTGGATTATGCAAGCAAACACTCCATGATAGAATCCACGACGAAATTGAACAAAAATGGGGAAATCGGACAACTCTGACGAACGCAACTTGTGATCGAAAAGCTATCCGATAGGACACCATAGACCCTGACGCGGCCTCTAGTGTTCGAGTATAGAGCACGGACGATGTTCACATATTTCGTGTGAACACCTTTTCGTGCAAGTAATTCGAACAGAATCGATCGATCGACCGAATCGAACGCACTCTTGAAATCGAGGAACACAGCTATTGTCGGTCTGCGGTATGCGTGGCGCTGCTCTAGCACCTGCCGCAAAGTAAATATATGGTCTATACAGCCACGTCCTGGGCGAAAACCGGCCTGCTCTTCCCTAATCCGAGATTCCCGTTCTGCAGTGAGGCGACGAACGATAATCGAGGCCAGTAATTTTGTCACGACTGGCGTTAGGCTAATACCCCTGTGGTTCGCACAGTCTGTGCGACTGCCCTTCTTGTATATTGCCACTATAATCGATTCACTCCAATTAGCCGGCACACTTCCTTCCAGATACGTTCGAATAGGGAGGTCAGTGCTTTGCAGAGGACCTTACCTCCATCCTTAAATAAAATGTAGGTAGGAGTGAATCCGCGTCAGCGGCGCGAAAACGATTGAGGGCTGTGATCGCGTTTCGGACCTTGGCCTCCGACGGAGGCTCTAAACTAACCGTCCATGGCTCGTCCTGCATCGCTTGAGTAGGAAGAGGTCCGGGAGCAGGGGGCCAGCTGAAGTGATGTTGAAAGTGTTCCGCCCAACGAGCCATACGGCGCTCCTTATTGTGTATTAGCGCACCCGCGCTGTCTCTGATTGTCTCACTGACGCCTGGTTTTCTGGGACCAGTGGTGCGGATTAGCTGGAAGAGCTTGCGGTAACTGCCTACTGCTCCTGCCTACTCCATTTCTTGAGCCCGAATGGTTCATCAAGCTTCCTTGTCAGCACGTAGGCTCCGCTTTAGTTCACGCCTAATAGCCCGTCTGGTCACATTGTGTTCAGAACCAGCCGAGAGGTGTCCTCTAGCTTCCAAAAGGTTCACCGACCTCTCGGACATCCAGTGACTAGTGTGGTGACGATGGATAGTGCACAAGCAGATGCTCCTGCGTCGTGCATAGCGGCCGAGACCCTACTCCATTGAAGCTGTGCCATTAGGACAAGACAGCGAAAGTTCGGTATATAGTGCTTCTTGATAGGCTTACCTGACCGAGGACTGAGACAATTTCTCAGTTGCCAATTGGAGAGCACGCTTGGTGCGCCTCCCGTTAAAGTTCATGGAGAAACGACAACGTACCAAGGCATGATCAGAGTCGACACAG